CCGTCCGCTCTCGAAGCTAATATAGATGAATGCCCTGCCCTCCTTGCCCTCCGGAACCGAGCGCTCCGACCAACTTTGGAATCGCTCTCTTTCTCCTCTTCTTCTCTTTTTTCTCCTTTTTCCCCCTCCGCTTTCGCCTTATCGACGAACGCGACATACGCTTCTCCCCCTCCTCCCATCGAAAAAACGGAAACGTCAAATTCCAATAACGACAAACTTTTAAACTCGATTCTTACATTTCCCCGATTTTATATATATATATATAATATCATATATATATAATATCATATATATATAATATCATATATATCATATATATACCGTAATATCTTTATTTCGTTAAGAAGGATATTTCGTTATGTACGACGATGGTGGCGGCGCGGCGTCGAGAGGGAAAGAGGAGCGAATTGGAAAAGGGGGGGAGGGATGAGCGAAAGATAGAGGACGGGCGAGGGTGAGCGAGGGTGAGCGAGAGAGGGGGCGAAAGGGCCGAAGGGGCATCTATCTATCAGCGGCGGCGTGAAGTGGGCGGGAGCATGCGCCGTATTGCCCCGTACGGCCGCTCTCTCCTTAACTCTGGCCGCCGCCAGAGCCGCATCCGTGCAGCCGAACACGACTGCCGTAACCGCCGTATCCACCGATCCTTCTTCTCCTCCTTTTTCTTCTCCTCTTCCCCCTCCCCCGGCCACTTTCTTTTTCCTTCCCCGCGAGCGTGTAGCGTAAACTGGACCGCGAGAGCCGATCGAATGACGGGGCAAAATTTTTCGCGATCTCCGCTAGGTTAGCCAGGTGCTGATTTGAGGAGGGGAGGGACTCGAGTAGCGATTTTCAAACTGCCGTGTCATTAAAGCGTGCTCGGTCTTCCCCTACTTTCGAGTTTGACGAAAAGTTTGTCCGCCGCGAGAGAAATCAAATCTTCTTCTTCTTCTTCTTTTTCTTCACGGTTTTGCGAAAAATTTCGAGAAACGCGGGTCGAAACACGCCCTTTCATTCTCGGAAGCGCATCCAACGCATTAGCGGAGAGAAGGACTTTTCGGTCGAGAGTTGTTCTTCTTCGGACACGCCTCCGATTCGCGCGTGATTACGTGCTCGTCGGTCCCGAGCGGAACCGGAGAAAGAAACTCCGTGTATCCATTATATATATATATATATATCTTTTCTTCCACTTTCTTTTCTTCTCTATTCTTTTATTATTTTTTTCTTTTTTCACACAAACTAATTTCGTCAAATTACGAAATAACGACTTTTCCTATCCGGAATCGGGATCCGGGCACTTTACACGGTTTCGAGATCTTTGAATTATCTATTATATACTATAACGGGGTTAAACGAAAAAAAAAAAAAAGAAAATTATTTAATCGAGCGCGTTCGACACGCGA